CCACTTGAAAACACCTTTTATAGCATGAACAATATTTTTCACGTATTTATTTTTACAATTATCTTCGAGAGGGTTTTTTCAACAGTTTCTCGTTTAAAATCTCAATTCGAAGCCGTTGGAATTTCAGATTAATCAAATTCTTCGAAGCCTATAAACCCAGCGCACTGGCTAATCCCATCAAACTGCCAGTCATTAAAGCACTCCTGAGTCGAAAGTGATTATTTCTTGATTGCGAATTGAATTCGTCGGCCAATTTTGATTTCAATTACACGGATTCGATAGTTTAGTTAACGAATTTAATAATTTGTTGAATAACCCGACCCACTTAAAATGTTGAAATCGATTTGAATTAAACTGCGTATTTCACAATTGATCGATGTTATTTTCGTTGAATTAGTTGAATAATACAGTTTTGCAATTTTCTCCACTAATAATATTATTATTAGCCTTTTGGAGTCATAGAGTGACAAAGATAAATCAAGTCAGAAAGAAGGTATGCCTTTACGACTCATATAAGTATGTAGAATACATACAAAAATACAATACAGATAATGAGTTTTTTTTTTATGTTATTTTTTTGGCAACACTGTTTTTGAGAGATCACGCGTGAATCGTGTCTTGTGTCATTGTCAAACTTGTTCAGTTTGGTCTATAATTCAACCATGAATCGACTAACGAATGAACAACGCTTGCAAATTATTGAATTTTATTATCAAAATTCATGCTCTGTGAAGAAGGTGCGTCGTGCACTTCTTCCAATTTATGGGCAGTTTCGTCGGCATACTGAGGGAACTATTCGGAAGCTTGTGACTAAATTTCGAACCCAGTGTACATTCTTGGACATTGAACCACCAACACGCATACTTAGAGTGAGGACAGAAGAAAATATTGTGGCTGTATCCGCCAGTATTCGTGATGACCGTGAAATGTAGATTCGCCGCCGTTCACAGCAATTGGGCCTCTGTTACTCCACTACGTGGAAAATTTTACGAAAGGATTTACCTTATAAGGTTTTACACCCTTATAAGTTTTGCAGCAAAATTGGAGGAAGATCCACATTTTTATCGAAAAATTGTGTTCAGCGACGAGGCTCATTGCAGGCATTGCAAGAGCTACCGATGCATCTCAAAAAAGTCATTTTTTGGTGTGAATTATGGGTCGGTGGCCTCATCGGGCCGTAGCTCTTCAAAGACGACAATGGCCGGAACGTTACTGCGAATGGCGAGCGCTACCGTGTGATGATTGACGACTTTTTGTTGCCCAAAATTGAAGAATTGGACATGCCTGACATGGGTTTCAACAAGACGGTGCCACATGCCACACGGCACGCGAAACAATGACCCAATTAGGAGCCGCCTTCGGTGAACAGTTCATCTCAAGTTTGGGGCCTGTCAATTGGCCGCTTCGATCGTGTGATTTAGCGCCTTTGGATTATTTCTTGTGTAGTCGTGTTGAGGCTCATGTCTACAGGGATGAAATAGCAACGACTGACGCTCTGGAAGCCATTATTGAAGCATCTATACGTGAAATACCCGTCGATATCTTAGAGAGAGTGTGCCAAAATTGGACCTTGCGCATGGACCATCTAAAGCGGAGCCGCGGATCATATTTGCATGAAATCATCTTCAAACATGAAATTATATTGATCATTCTATCGATTCCAATAAAGACTTCATCAACTTCATCAATTTTTCCAAATTTTTGGGTTGTTTTGAAAATAAAATCATCCATCATCAAATCAGCCGTTACAAATAAAATATAGCATTCAACAACGCGTGCAAATAATGGAATTGTTTTATATAAATGAGTGTTCTCTCCGGACAACGTACCGCGCGCTTCGTCTATCTTACGGTCGCCATAATCGTCCTGCCGAGACGATTATTCACAATATGGTGGTTAAATTTGAGTCCACTGGTTCAGTAAACTATTGACCAACACCCGTCCATTGGCGAAATTCAAGATCTGTCGAAAATACCGCCGCTGTCTGTGAGAGAATGCAGAAGAATCTGAGGCAGTCGATTTCGCGTCGCTCATAAGAACTCGGCCTTTCGAAAATCACAACTTGGTGTATTTGGCGTATTGAACATTGGACTGAGAAGCTAAATAAAAGACTCGATATCCAGAACTACCCGGTTGCTGTTTCAATACATTTTCTACTGAGTAGAAAGCTTTTTCGAAAAGATAGTTTTTCAAGTTTCAAGTTACTTCAGAGTAATGAATCCCTTCATAAGAGAGGGTACCTTGTTTTATAAAAAAGACCAGCATAGTGAGGGGACCTTTTATAACCAGTCTGCCAAAATTGCCTCAAGCGGATAGTATCAGCACCTTTTGTGGACTATTTGTGTGTGTAGTATTTTCCTCCAACGATGATGTTTTTCCAAAAGTGGATGATAACACTTCATAGACAGAAAATTCAAGTCTTAACGCCGGTACGTTGTAGAGTCGAGCTTCGATATGGAGCAACGAATGAGATATCGTTTTCCGTCATTCTTTGCAGCTCTCTCTGCAAGACAACTAGAAAAACGAGAGCCTAAAAATTACTATTGAACCCTGATACTATCATTTGTCTTGTCTGTCCCGTCTTGCTGTTAGTTTTACCATGACTGGCTCCCATATCCTAGATCAGTTCAGCATCTGTTGGAAATAAGTAATTGCTTACTTCCAAGTAGCAAGGCCAAAACGAACTCACGATCCGTAAATGAAAGGTTTTTCCATTTTTGAGTTTCTTCTAAATAAAACGTCACACAAAATGGCACCCAACGTGGGGCCCGAACCCAAGACTCTTTCATGCTCTAACGACTGAGTTAGCCAGGCCCCACGTTGGGCGGCATTCTATATAATGAGATATATAGGAGTTTCAGAAAAATGTCGAGAACGCAGAAACATTCCATTTATGGGTTATGAGTTCGTTTTGTCCATAAGGCCCAGAAATGTTATTAAATCAATTAACTGCTAACCTCTGAGAAATGCAATTACATCAGCTAACATAATTTTTTCAGTTAACTCGGCATTTCATCTGGGAATTTGCTCGTCAAAGTTTCGGTTTACTATTCCTGTAGATGAATACTTGTTCTATAACTTTCATACATGTCAATTGTTGATATCTAACTTAGAGAGTTATTTTTTCACCCTTATCAAAATCTTGAAGTTCTAAATCAGTAACAAGAAGAGAAATTTCACACTTTCTCTTTATGGTTTTTTGCATTTCCTTTGATATTTACCGAAAAATTGTAATATTTGTAAATGAGTAATAATAATTAGTGAAATATTACGGGAATTTTGATAAAAAATCTCATTCATTCAGGACGGCTTTTCCAAATGGAGCCATGGAACTCTAAGATGCTCTTTCTAGATAGTGTATAATAATAAGTATAATAATAGATGTGTGATGCACATAACTGTTCCGCAGTCACGAAGAGATTGTGATTTGTAATCAAACCCGCATTGCATTGGGGTATGGTTTTCGTTGATATCGAAAATCTAAAACCAGTACTTACTTGATCCATATATGACATACCAATACTCCATTCTATACAGTTTTCTTCAAACCATCGTTAATTCAGCTGGTATGTTAGGCGGTCAAAAATGCGTAAAAACTGAAAAGCAAAAGCAATGTGAGGGGAAGACGAGCTAGATGAAAAACCAGTTGACAAAAAACAAAAATGTCAAGTGATGCGATAGTTAGAAAGCTGCGTTGATGATTTTTGCAATGTGAGACATTGCGACCTTGAAGATGTTCATATAATAATAATAATTATAGATTCAACATTTATAAATTTGTTTCAGAAAAACACTGGACTATAAAGTCAATTTAAAGAAAGCCCGTCAATATAGCATCATAGTTGATTTTTTTCGGTTTCTGGACCTGGGAGAAAAAAAATATACGAAATGTATATTGCCCCAAAGGATACTATTTTGCTACTAAAAGAATAATGAATAATTGATATTCACAATTGGAGAATCTTGAAACAGAAGCATTTTGAAATGTATTTTTTGTGACTTTCGTACTGATGTTCATGGAATTTGTGTAACAATTCAAAAGAAAGTCAAACATTCGACATTTTTTGAAAAATTAAAACGCAATATGCATATTTACAGGGCACTGCAAAGATGACCCTCCCCTTACATTCCCTTGAAGTTGAAACTCATTGAATTTTGAGATTATTCTAAAGAGCTGCAGAAGAGAAACAAAGTTCTGGTAACTTCATATTTCTAATTTTGTCTAATTCCGATTTTCAACTGAAAATTTCCTCAATTTTTCTCATATCCCAATATGAATTTCTTTCATATTCTCACTTGGAAGTTAAAAAAATTCTGAATTCCATATGATAATTTGAGAAATATTCAAAATGAAGTAAGAATTTGGTGAAAACTTTAAAGGTATGGAGTTGATATTTGAACGAAATTGAATATTTAAAGTAGGGATCTTGCAAAAAATACAAATATGGCTTCTGCATTCAGAAAATTCAAGTTTAAATTCAGAATGAAAGTTATTACAAGAATTATTGAAATAAATTCTGGAAATTTTCATATATTGGTTCAATATATCGATAATTTATCAAAAAAGTTTTGTGTAAATGTTACACGCTACAAAAAGGTTTGAAGATAGTTTCAGATTTTTTATAATATCATTGGAAGCACCTTGTAAAAATGATTGATAATTAAAGCATAACATTACTTTGGTCGTCTTTGAAAAAAGAGCTCAACTACAAATATTTCATTCAGAGCGTGATAACGTAACGAAGGGACGAAACGGTTGTTTTTTCTATTACTAAATCTTCATCTTTTCTCAAACTTGCAAAGACATCCAGTATATCAGCCCTGAAAAAGTCGAAAAACGTCAGAGTTTTCGTCATTTTTTCGAATCTCTCCAATGTAAATGTTTTCAACTTTGCCAGAGTGGCTAAGCACCTCTCCTTAACAACTGAGTATTCCATAACCTCTCAAATCCATCTTCAAGATACGTAATGCCCTAGATCAGAACCAGAATTATCACTTACCACAGCGGAATCGGAGTTGAGGTAGCGGTTCGTCGCAGAGTACGCGTTCCAAGGTCTCATTTTGTTCTCGATCCTTTCGAACTCGCGTTGCAGGACCGACGGACGCGTCGAAAACACTTTCGGTGGCGCCGTCACCACCGTCAGCCTCTTGTGGCCCACATAAGGCACCACGCGGTCGTACGAGTACGTTACGTGCACCTGTTGGAAAAAACAATTCAAGTTAGCATTGGGCCACCACGTCGGCCAGATATGGCACCGATGGATCACATCAATAAGAATAACTAAGTTTGAAGTAGGATGGAAAATGGCCATAACGTCAGCATGACATGACACCACTTGAGAATACAACAATATGAATGACTGAGTATGAGTTAGGACAGAATTAAAATACGGTTTCTCGACGTACATTTCCGTAATCAAATTAGCATAACCACGGGATGAGTAATACTGAATTTCACAGGTATGTTATGTCTTTAACATACATTTTTTAGAACCATCACCAACGACAAAAAGGTTCATCAATTGAATTGCTAGTATCAGTCATTGTGTTATTTTATTTTAATTACTAACGTACCTATAAGTTATTGTGTAACTTAGCTTTTATTTCTATTATCTTTCACTTTTCTAAAATCCTTAACCTAACCGAAACTAACCGAACCTAACCTAACTCAACCTAACCTAACCAAACATAACCTAACCCAACCCTACCTAACCTAACCTTATCTAACCTAACCTAAGCTGACCTAGCATAATCTTACTTATATGGCGTATATAGAACAAACTTCAAATCCAACCCACCTGTCTAAGCTATATTTTCTGATCATCATATCAAGCTGCAATTTCAGTCAAATTAAGATTTTTGATTGCAATCGTATGTGAGGTGAAACGGAAATCCAATCTTTAGTTGTATATGTCAATAAAAAAGCCCAAACTCGTTTGGATAGGGTATCATCTAGTTGTCTACTTATTGTGGAAGCTGCATAGAGAAACGGAAAGTGATTGCTCATGCGAAAGTTAATGCCAAAGCTTATCACTACAATGGACCGCCGTAGGAACGCTTGTGTGTTCTAAATATTTGTAATTTCAGAGTTCTGTCAATCTTTCTATGTTGCAATTTTTTCTATGTCGCTTCTTTATACTTAGAGGGCCTCCCAAAAAAAGTTCTCACCCCAGAAGGAAAACAAACAAAACATTCTTGAGAACCATAACTGAAAGTTTTCAGAAAGACATATATTTTTTGAAAAGCAACATACCATGTGAGATACCTCAAAAGAAAAATATCGTTAGTAAATTATTTAACTCAAACTTTCGAATCATTCTCCATGGGCGCATATCAAAATGGCATTGAACTCCATCGAGAGTAATATTTAAAATCATAGACAAACCAAAACAGCTTGAATTTTTTCAGTATGTACCAGGCATACCTGCAAAAACATTCTTCAATGATTACGAACGATTATATTTGAGGTAATACGGAAGTTCCATTTCAATTTCTCTTCAGATTATCTACAAGATGAATTGTTCGAAATGTGAACCATTCATCTACATTTACAGATATAGTCGTGACTCAAAGTTGTCTCTCACATTACTGAGAATCTTGGAAGTTAGACGAGCAAATTTACATATTATTATTGGTTTTGAATTTTCAAGAGACTCCAGCTGTCGATAATATATTCGATGATATTCAATCAAAGTGGTCCTATAAAAAGTCCGATGCAGATAAGTCTGGAGATCGGCAAGCTTTTCTATGGAACCTCTCCAACCTATCCAGGTTCCTAGATATAACAGATTTAGGACTGGAGCTACAGAGTAGAGAGAGGTTAGTTGAAACCACAGCTGTTCTTAGATGCAGCTATAGTCGGCTATGACGATATAGGAACAGATTCAATGCCTCTACTACAAAACCTATGTGGACCAAAGTTCTAGCAGCTCTACAGACTAATCAGAGATACTTAGCTGAAGTTTGCGAATTGTTCATAGCTACGTTCCACAATGACTAAATTTGCACTTTCTATTTTAGTTGAAGACTTTTTTTATCGGAAACTTGTTGTCTAAGATGCAAATCATTGAATGCTTCCAATGTAGCTTTAGCAGAATTTGTCTCCCCCAATACAAAAATACAACTCTCTTCGACAATTGAGCATAATTCAACCATGAAATTGATTCAAAGCTTGACTTACCAGGTGACAAAGTAGAGAATGACACATTTTCTACTCTTCATTGCATTTTTTATCAGTTCCGCCACCATATATGCCAACTGAGAGAATAAAAAAATGAAATCCATCATTTCAATTCAAATTATCAAAATGATTCTGTTTTCTGTAGCAATATGTCTTTTTGAAAAGATATAGTGTATTATCAATTTTAGAGCAGATAAATGTTCAAAGATAGATCAAAAACGCCTTCAAGTTCTGGTGCAGCTATTTTCAGTCGCAGTCTCAGGACAGAGATATTAACCTGCCTAGGAAATATAAGCTACTGAATTATGTGCGGGGAGATTGGAAGAATTCAACCTCATACACAAGTCAATAAAAATATTCTCGGACAGTCAAGCGGCGTTGAAAGCTCTTGGCTCCTACCGAGCAACGTCTCAATTGGTAGCAAAATGCCAAAAACGACTCTCCTCAATAGGAAGACTCAACAAATTGTCTCTGGTCTGGATTTTTGGCCATTTTGGAATGCAATGGAGGCTGCTGGCTTCTTTGCAAAGGAGAGTGCTGCAAGCAGCTTCATCGGACAAAAACCTGGATGGCAAGAAGATTTATGAACTTCTGACAGGATCTTCCAGGATTGGCTCACTCCAAGCCGTTTATTCACCCTTCAAAGCTTGAAACCAAACAGTTGTTGGACTACAGTAGGGATGAACTAAGATGTCTTACAGGCCTTCTTACAGACAGTGTGTATCGCCTCTATTTGGAAAATTATGAAACAACAGAGCACATACTCTGTGCCTGCCCTGCTGGGGACCGAATCAGGTTTTTAGAGTTCGGCAGAGCCGTATACGTACCATCTGACCTGAAAGACCACTCATCATACAAACCAATCGACTTCGTTAACAAGCTGGACTCTTGTGGGTCGCGGTGGAGGGTCAAATTGACACACTCACTTTCGACCTAACCTAACCCAACTATACTACCAATTGAAAATGGTAAGGAGAAAACTGAAGACATGCTGTGATCAAAAATGCTTCCCCTGAAATTCATCAGATATTGACTTTGGAAATTATTGCTTTTTCAAATACTAAGATTGGAACGTTCTGCAACGTTACATGGCTGACGGACTACGAATAGTCATGATGCTCCCTAGGTGGCTCGGGAAGTTATTAACATTGCCTACCCAGGACACCAGGCTAATTACCAATGCAGTCGATGCCGATGACACCAAAAAAAAGTGGAACATTTTCATTAGGAATTTTAGAATTACTTCAGTAACTCTAGAGTTACTTTAGTAGTAGAATTACTTTAGTAACTCTACTCAATTCGACTGGGGTAGCATGCTATCAGTTTTTTAACAAAAAAACACGTTTTTCAATAGTAATTCGTAAATCTTGTTCGGTCTCAAGCCTCTGTTATCCAAATTAATATTTTAGAGTAGTAATTTGTAAATAAAAAATTGGTGGTATTCAGCCTAGAGTTGCTAGCACTCAAATTCATAGAGCAAAGCAGCCTACTTTATTATATTCTTTATCTTTGAGTTATTGTAAAATAATTTTGGTCAAGTTCATTATTTATTTATTTTTCTGATTAACTATTTTGGACAACCACCGGAAAAAGTGGCTTCATTTTTGAGGAATCGAGATACTAAAATTGCATATAGAACAAGTAAGGAAAGCTAGTTAAAAATAATAAGGATGAAACATCCAAATTCGAGAAATCAGGGGTATATAAATTAAAGTGTGGAACGTGCCCTAAGGTATATATTGGTCAAACTGGCAGGACATTTAGGAATCGAATCCAGGAACATCATAAGAGCTATGTAAATAAGAAAACAAATTCAACATATTCAAATCATCTTCTAGAAGAAAATCACATCTTTAATGAAGAGTTCGAAATGTTGCACATTGAAAATAAAGGTTTGAAACTGAATCATTTGGAAGCAATGGAAATCAATAAACTTAAAAATTCAAACATTCTAATGAATGACCAACTAGATTTGAATAAATCACCATTATTGAACTTGTTTTCTTAAAAACCGAGAAAGAATTATTATTGATGTAGATGTGAGGCACTATGCTTTAGGTAATCATAATTGAGCAGGTACAAGATGTAGAGGTTCAGCTAATTTCTTACAGGTAGTCTCAATTATGGTTACCTGTAGTATATAAATATGAATGTAAGTATAATTTGATGTATTAATCACTTGAAAAAGCTAATGTTTAGCGAAACATGTTGTGATATATTTATTCAATAAAGTTTGTGAAGATCCAATCGTCTAGGTGTAGTTTGTGAAATTATTTATTTATGCCTAATCCCATTGTTTTCCCAGCCTAAGTTTCCCGGCTGGTCCTGCAAATGTCTGGGTCTTTTCCAAGCCACTTATCGTCATGAAATTCGATATTCACGAATATCTTTACTCAAAGCTAACCTAACTGTGAAATTAGAAATCTCATCTTTCATCTAGGGTGACTAGAGATAGTCGCAAATCTTGAGCTAACTGAATTTACATCTGCAATAGCCTGGAAAATTATTATGGTCTGACCCTTCGCAAAATGACCAGTTCGACTCGGAAACTTCATTTCTGTTATCACGAAGTTTGCTGGTTATTCCCTCCTGCCTGATCTGAATAATTCACAAGCAAAATTGAGTTGTGGCGCGTAAATCATGGATTAATATGTGATCTCAGCTGGGAAATGGAACAGAGACTTTTTCATTTGCGTGCAATGAATCCATGTAAATTCAATCGCGATATATTATGTTTCCAGGTCGAGGTTTAGAGAATGTTGACTAATAAGTTCGTAGAATTCCAGCAGTTGGTGCATATGCAGTTGATTGTTGTGTTGGTGAAAGCCCAGGGGAAGTTGAGGGTTTTGATACTAACGAAGTTTGTTGTTATGTTCCTACTATGCAGTTAAATAACTGGGAATTTAATGGAAATACGCTATAACGGAGAGGCAAGTTAGGTGCATTTACCGAAATTATTTCATTTCATTGTATCCAGTGAAAGTAACACTCTTTATTTTTGTGAGCAGTAACTTTTTGATTTTGACTTCTGACCAGTTATCACCAGAAATGTGAATAAGAAATTTCACTAAAATCTGTAGAAAATGTACAAGCAAAAAATCTGTAGTCCTACCTCTTTTAAAAAAAGGAGACCCTTATATTATTGACAACTTTCAACCTATTTCAATAATACCTATACTTGGAAAAGTTATCGAAGTAATTGTCAAAAACAGATTAATAGCATACTTAGAAGCTAATTCTCTTTTCTGCCCTGGACAATTTGCGTATAGAAAGGGTAAGTCCACAATCGATGCTCTTTTGAATATCATATCCAGTATAGTGATAGGTTTTGAGGAGGGCAGACTTTCATTCATAACGTTGTGCGATCTATCGCATAATATTTTGCTTAAGAAACTTTCCTATTACGGTATCCGTGGACTGTTCCTTAAATTCTTTGAATCCTATTTGCACGATAGATCACAGTGTGTATCATTACATGGGATTAAATCGAATGTGAAATATGTCAAACATGGTGTGCCCCAGGGTTCTGTACTGGGACCAATCTTGTTTATACTATATATAAATGACCTATACTACCATATACTTCCTAAAAAATGTTTTCTTTTTACGGATGATACCACTTTGGTGGACTGTCACGGTAGTGTTAATGATTTGAGTGTTTCTGCCAACGCCACCATGAAGTCTTCAAGTAACTGGTTTGTTTCAAATAGACTTCTCCTTAATGAGGCTAAAAATCAAAATCTTATAATTTCCACAAATACGTATTCAACCTCAGGTAAAAGTGTTGAGCTACTAGGGATTCATATAGACGACAGATTGAATTGGTCATGTCATGTTGACAAACTGGCCAAGAAATTATCAAGTGTAATATTTATGATTCGTAGACTGAAGGAATTCGCCGGTATCAGAGCGGTCAAATCTTCGTACTTCGGACTCTTCCATAGTCACATGGTATATGGCATAGTATTGTGGGGGGATTCTTGTCATTCCAAAAAAAATTTTATATTGCAAAAAAGAATTATACGTCTAATATCCAATGCCAACTTTAAAGATCATTGTTGCCCACTTTTTATTCATCCCAAAATTATGCCGCTTCCTACAGCTTCTGTATATGAAACATTGATTGAAATTCATAAAAATAAATCAAAAGACATTTTACAATAGCAACAACATGAATATCCTACAAGATCAGGAAATCTGATAAGAACTGAGAGATTCAGACTGAGCACCTCACAAAATAATTCATTGTATTTGAAATTCTATAATAAATTACCATGTCACATAAAACAACTCAGTTTCTACTGTTTCAAGCAAAAATTGAAATCATTTTTTTGAATCACTGTTTTTATTCTACAGATGAATACATATTATACAACATAGATATTTCATGTGACTTTGAGTGACTAACAATTGTTTTCATATTCAACATTAGTTGATTGATTGTTTTTATTATTTTATGTACACTGTTCTGTTATACAGGCATTAATTGTGATAGTTTTATTTGTATATATGACGTCATATTTATAAATTTTTGTGTTTTGACTTGCTACAAATATTTGTTCAAATGTATCACGTAGCCAATAAATTATTGTATGATGAAACTGAGTACTCAAAACATTTGAATTGTTTGTCCAAAAACAACATCGTAATCATGCTTCAGCTGCCGTATTCACTAGATTTGGCCCCATGCGACTTCTTCCTCTCCCCAAGATTGAAGAGACCCGTGAAAAGATGAGGTTTTGCGATGATTGAGGGGGATTACTCTGATAGGGGCAAAATGTAAATTGATGAGTAAATAAATATTTTTTGGGAAAAATGAAAATTCACTTTATTTTTTAAACATACTCCAAATACTATTCAGCTCAACTTGAATTGATAATTTTGACCTATATCTATTGATACAGCTTAGGCAATTCAACTTGTAAACTACATTTTTCTGCCAACTTCAGTGAACAAAAAATTTCAGAAACCTGTAGAATAGAATCCTGATAATAATTTTTCATATGTTTTGCTCAACTAGAACAAGTAATGTTATTTTAAACTGACCAATATAATTTGTAATTTGTAAATAGAGAATGAAATGAAATATCATACGATACATGTCCGTCAAGTTTGTTAAAGTACTTGTTTATTTACGTTATAGAACAACTTGGACCGTAATAAGTAAACCAACCGGACGTAAACTTCTATTTCCATACAACAAAGCTGGGGAAAACTATTTTTATGGCACAAAATGCAATCAGAGGTAATCTTAACTTGTTTTTCAAAAGTGATATTGATAACCAAATGAATTTCAAATGTTCAAACCTGTCTCGGACCTACACAGTAGATTGAATGGACTTACGCCTATCAGAAAACAACTACGCCACTGGCTAATATCACGAACGGCGTTGAATATACCCGACAGGCCTCAGTGCAAGAATTTTCACAGAAAATTTCCTGCATATGCAATTGGCAATCCGAGACGGGCTTGAACATTTAAAGTTCATTTCTTTACATTTGTTTACTTCCTGTCTTCAAGCATAGCCCATTGACTAATAAGAAAGTTTTTCTTCCTCATTCAGAGGAATCGGGCAAGTTACGGATATGCAGTTAGTCAGTACCTCGTCCACTAGATGGAGTGACATTTTTGTTGTTCGTTTCAGCTTAAGACGAGGAATGAAATACTCTGAAAGAATTCCGATTTTCAATTATGGAATATTATTGAATTTAGGTCGATGATGGCCACTATCTTGTACTGACAAGTGGCTAAAGAGCCCGAAACCGGTCTGCAAGTGTTCCCATTCCAAAATTGAAGATCGACTCTTTCAGTTGTATTGCCGATTGCATATACAGGAAATGTTCTGTAAAGATTCCTGCACTGACGCCTGTCGGATATAATCCAACACCGTTCGTGGTATTGGCCAGTGGAGTAGTTGTTTTCTGATAGGCGTCAGTCCATTCAACCTACTGTGTAAGTATATCCGAGGCGGGCTTGAACATTTAAAGTTAATTTCTTCAGATTTGTTTACTTACTGCCTGTCTTCAATTATAATGCACTGACTAATAAGAAACATAACCAAATAGATGCACGGATATATCTAACAAAAAAGGACATCCAAAAGTGACATTTTAGTATCTTCCTGAAGTCCCTACGTTTACTGATTATCCTAGATATTTTTTCCATATTTACTCAAGTAAGCATTTACAATATAAATCAAAGCAGTCTAATAGCAGTAATACATATGCAAACAAAAAAAATCAATTTCAATGAAAATTCAGAATATTCATATCTCCTGTCTAAAATTCCATCTGAAATTCAACTACTTTTCTGGCTAATATCACGACGATTGGATGTCATTCAAACATTAATTTTGGTTTTTTAATGTTACTTTTACACCTGAAATAGAGATAGCAGATGTCATTGCTTTCTGCTTTTTGACTCAGTTTGATTCAAACATTGAGAACTATTTCATTAACAAACTGACTGGAATTGAAATGAAAATCTGCTGAATAGTTTCATATAGAAAAACCATATAGACAATCAATAGATGATCCTGCAGTTTGGTCGTTTAGGTAATTCCCAAAAAGAAAAACAAGAAAGACGTTGTGGAAAAAATTTGCACAAATGTAAGCAATAATCATGTGAATATTCATCCAGGCCAGGAAAGTTACTGTTCTCTTGCAGAAATTCGACGATTTCTGGTATACATATAGCATAGTTACAAAACATTAAAATTTGGAATGGTTCATTGACTTGATGAAATTATGATTTTCAACTAATTTAAATGGAAAGGTGTATATTTTTAGGAGGAAATAATTTCAGGAAAGAAAAGTTTCGTCCATCTTTATACATCTTTATACAAAAAAAAGTGCGAATCTACTATACTCGTAGTACAAACTGAAAAGGAAGAAGCGTTTGTTGTATAATTCAATGTTCATGTGAAAGTAGTTGTTACAAAAGTGTTTTTTCGTGTAATTGAATTTTATATAAACTTAAGTGTTTCGTTATTAAATTTAAGTCTTCCCATACCTAACAAAAAAGACTATTACATTTCTGGTGATTGATAAAAGTCCTTATTTTTCACTGAATGTTTCATATAAATACAATATCGTATAAGTGTTGACAACCTAACCAGAAGTAGACTCGAAATAAATACAAAGACTTACCTTCCCTAAACCCGGTAGAACCCTCACTTGACGAGTAGGCACACCCTGTGGGAAAGGAAAAGAAAGGATGAGAATACAGTTCCGGATAGTTAGTAATTTGTACAAAATATAGGGTTAAGAAACTCCCATTCCAAGCCAATAGGTCTTTGCAAAGTTCGTTGAAAAAGTAAACAAATCTCAAAAGCTTCCTGCTTGTCAAACATACAAAAATAAACACATACTCTGTTAGTAGACAGGATGTAGGATGAAGGTGTATATAGGACACATGAAAAAAACAGTAAATGAAAGTTCAAAATCCTATTCATGTGTATATTACATCACGAAATATACAAAATATAAAATAAGTCTATACAAAATATATTTTTTCGGCTTCTATTACATATCAGTAAAATTTCCGAAAAGCAACTCTGCTTTTATACAAACTATATCGAATACTATGAAAATATAATTGATCAATATATGAGTTGATGAGAATCATTATCAACTCAAATAGGAAAATAGTATCCTTCATTTTGAGAAACTATTCTATATTTCATACACAGTGAAAGCAAATAACTTATTGTCATCAGTTATGCTGATTTGGTTCAAATGACTAGCTATTCCTATTACTAAACAGTTATGTTGAAGAATAGTTAAGTTAATATTTAAGAGTTGGGAACTAGCTAAGTATGCAGTACTTATTGTACAAGACTTGCTCAAGAATATCCTAGAATCAAAATATTGAACCTACACCACAAAAATTCAAGAAAGTTTTTGATTTCAACCAATAAAAATACCCAAAATTAAATTTTAATCCATTCTGAACAAGTCTTATTGCGCCATTCAGAGTTACTCTATAGGTGTTAAACCCGGTAAGAGTAGTGGCGGTAGCTGGTACCACCGGGCAACCTCCCCGACGTAGTTGAGCTATAGCTCGAGCTGTATCCACCTGGACCGTCGCCCCTGGTGCGCGAGGACCGTTCTGTAGAGTAGGAGTACCCTCCTGGGCCGCCGGTCGAGGAGCGGGTGACGGATTCAGATGAAGTGTAGGAGCTTCTACCGGGGGTGGAGTAACGATCACCGTAGCGGTTGGACGAAGAATCTGCCGTCGAATTATAAGAGTAGGAGTAGACTTGTTCGGCAGAACGTTGGCTACGGTCTGGCGTGTCGCGGACTACGTAGTGTCTTGGACTCTGGGGACAAAGAAGAATTATAGGTTAAGGAAACAATTGGTGTGACCGAAGTTGCCAAATCAGACTAATGTCTGCTTCAAAGAAGTGTTTGTGTCAGTGAAGGTATGGTACTCAAACTTTATTCCAAATTGATTTTTCTTAGTGATTTCAAACTGCTGAATCTGAATCAATTCAAAATGAAATCAATAAACTCTTTCAAATATTTCATAAAATTGAATTATAAGAAAACATGATTTAATGTTGATGAATATACCAGTTTTCGCTCTGATTACAGTGAAAACGTTTGTTAATAGCATTATTAGAATCATTATGAATACAACTGAGTAGCGTCCAATTGGGTCCATTGGGTCCAAGAATTGTGAGCCTTAGAAAGACGTAACGAACCAAGAATGACAGCCTTTTGCAATTGTTTGTCTGATCGTGAGATCACAGAGAAGCGAAAACATATTTTCATCCAAAACTCCTATAAACAGAACAACCAGTTTGAAAGAGTGGTCTAGGTAGGGCCTGGAGAGAAATAATGATACTCAATACCCATCACACAACCAAGATGGACTAAGGTATTGAAGTCACCATCCTGGCAGGCCATGATGGATCCTTCGGTTTCCGACTTCAGCCTACTTGACCTGTGGAACGTGAAAGTCGGGTTCTTAGATGAGCCAAGGTCTTCAATGTTCTTGAAGATGACACAGTGCATATGTTTATCCCTATGGAAACTAATGAGTTAATTATTCTTTACGGTTTCATATGGGTGTTCTTCTGAACGATTTTTTCTCAGTTGCAGAGTTTTGGTCAATACGATGAGTGTCGAGAACAAGCCGAGTTAATCGCCACTCCAGTAACTGTCTTCAATAGAACCTTGATTTTTCATAGTCGCGGACTATGCAGAGAGAATCCTAATTCCTGATGACTTTACAGTTCATTATGTAGACACTTCAAACGCAAAAGTTCATAGCTTCCCAATTATCGAGGAATGTATGACCGTGGAACGGACGATTTAGGATAGAAACTCATGAAGTTGCATGATTTTCCGGGTCTTTGAGTTGGTACAGGTCCTGTAGAGTCCACTTCACTACTTCAAAAAAGTCGGAGTTTGTTGCCACTAAGAGAGTTCATTACAGCCATTACCTCGTTCCATCCAGATGTGAATTCATGTCCAAAATGCTTCCATCCACGAGCTGCACATCCTCTCCGTAATCTCCAAATCATCCTCCTTCACCACCCACGGAGATCCTCTTCTCCAGAAGCATAAAGTTCAATAGCAATCGTATAGTTCACCTTCTGTCTCTGGTATCTAAGAGTGCCACAGCTTTATTTAATAGTATACCTGAGAGCAACAGATACTTACAAAAGTGAGATGCAGAAAAAAATGCTAAGGGAATTTCCCTCGAATATACTCCTTGTAAAAATAACCCTCTCCCTTTGTGCTCTAGCTAGACCAGATCTGATGGTTGAGTGAGTCCCAGACCACTTGATGGAGTCTCGGAAGCATCTTAGCAAATATGCGATAAGATCTTGCGATAATCAATCCAGGCCATGAAGAGGTTACGCTGCTATACTGAGTCGTGCTTCATACATCTATCGATGAGCAGGTCCGCTTTGCAGTCAGTAACTCCACTCTTTGCCCCTCTCTGAGCATGTAGCCGGAGGCTATTCCTGAATAGGAGATGCCTTTAAACAACTCATAATACGAATGCAGACAATTGCTCTGTTGCCCTTCGTAATAGACAAATCTCCATTTTTAGAGATGAGAATGGTCCACAGGTGGATGGGTACTTGGTGATTTTTCCACATACCAGTATTTGACCCATGCAGGTCCGGATCAGCGGAATTCTCAGCTTCGAAAAAGGTTCTTCGAATGTTCTCAGTGATTATCGCGCAGTCCTTTTTGTGCAGGCTGTTGAAGCTCCTCTGTAGAAAGTTTCAAACCTCGCCACTGGATTGTCTACATTATTATCATTATTATTATCATTTTTACCGGAGGTTGACCTAGTCGGGCCCTGTCTCCGAAACCACGATTCATTCGGAGGGCGAGTATCATCAACCAATGACAACCACGCACACCATGAGATAGGTGATCAATGGTTCCAAGAATCATCTGCCCCAAGCAGACGCAATGAGCCAAGAATGACAGCTGTTGAGTAATTTTTCATCAAATGGCAATGTTAAAAAAAATGTTTTCAAGCAGTCCAAATTCCTAGCTGTTTCAAAGGACACCGCTGATATTATGATGAATTTATATTCTTTCTCAGTTTGAATCAATTCAGTTTAGTTTTAAGCTCTACCTAACCGTACTACGTCACAGTATCTCTATATTCACAAAAGCATAACGAAATATTCTTTGTCAGATTATTACTGAACCCCAATATACAGGGTGTAACATAAGTACGTTAAAATATTCAAGTGACATATTCCTGAGACAATTTTAAGAAAAAAAGTCTATATAGACAAATTCACAGTTCGGAGTTTATAAAGTGATTTTTTGGTACCATGCCCGACTTTACGAATGCTTAAATGGCTGATATGGTTTTCGCATACTGCTTGGATGACGGAAATTCAAGCGAGGCAAGACGCATCTATCAGGAAAGGTATCCCCAACGCGTGACTCCTTGTGCAGCGACATTTGCGAATTTTTTCCGGCGACTTTCCGAATCTGGAAGCTTTGAAACAAATTCTGCAGTAGGACGGCCACGGACTACAAAAACTGTAGAACTGGAGGAGGCGGATCTCGAAGAAATTAGTGAACATCCAAAGACAAGTACAAGAAAAATCAGTCAAACTTTAAATGTGTGTCACATGACAGCTTACATAATTTTAAAGAAACAGCAATTATATCCTTATCATATTCAGCGAGTCCAAGCACTTACGCTACGTGATTTCCAACCACGTATCGAATTTGCTTAATGACTTCAAGAAATGGTATCATGAACTTCCATGCGATAATGCAAACTCATTTCCAAGACAGATTCTCTTTTAATGTATGGGTAGGCATAATTGGGGATTATTTAATTGGGCCCTATTTTCTACCCTTACCTTTGAATGGAGATGCTTACCTACATTTTTTGGAACACAATTTGAGGAAGATGTTTCCATTGGTCTCCTAATTCACTCTTGGTTTATGCACGATGGAGCTCCTGTTCATTTCAGTGTGATAGCAAGAAACTTTTCAGATGTAGCATATCCCCAACGATGGATAGAAAGAGGAGGCACTGAGCATTGGCCTCCGAGGTCACCGGACCTCAATCCCGTCGATGTTTTATTTTGGGAACATCTAAAATCGCTAGTTTATGCTAGCTCCATTGAAAACGAGGACATGTTGAGGAATCACATCATGGCTTGCTGCGAAACGGTAAGAAACACTTCGGGCATTTTTCAACGGGTGCGGAATTCTTTGATGAGGAGAGCAGTATCACTGTCGTCACTTTGAACAGAAACTGTTTTGACTGCGATGTAGCTCCTTTTCAAGTATCTGCAAAACTGTCCAATTTCATCTCATCTACAAATACGGTATGTAATGTGATACTATTTTCATTGGAAATATATTACAGACTTTTTGGACAAACAAAAATAACTCAGTAAACAGTGAATGTGAATCTGTGCCAAATATATTACCTCATGTATTCAGTGAGCCAAGATCGTTTACTTTTTTGAAATTCAAATATTTGGATCAACTTCATTTGGCTCCAAAATCATTCCTACTCTGAATGTACCTACAAAAGTATATTTCGATCGTGTATTTGCACAATTCAAGAGCAGAATAAATAAAAAAGGTATTTCGAGTAAAGCCTGAAATGAAGTATGATCTCAAATACAGTCAATAACACACTGCTAAATATTCTACTCAGTGAAGACATTAAAAACTAACTAACTACG